AAGCTCTAATTGGGTTATCATCAATCACCAAAAAGGGGGAGATTGAAAGTGCAATCAAGCCTTAATTGTGGGTTTTGGTGATAATGACCACACAATTAGAGAACTAATGAAATTTATCGAGATGACAAGCAGGGAATTTATATTCGAGGATGCTACATGAAACGGAGGAGCCCCCAATTACAAATATAGATGGCTTCAAACTTAAAAGAGGTTTAAGATTCTTTTATATCTTGAATTTGAGTATAGGAAAAACCGTACTATAAAGGGGGACACAATCCTTAAGCTAATATGTGCTACCAAGTGCTCAACCAACCACAAGCATCCTCAGATTCACAGTCAATACAGTCTACACTTCACTATTACCCTTGCTATCTTGCGTGGTGCGGCACTGGCGCACTTGAGTCACGGCACAAGGAAGTTAGCGCCCACGTTGACTTCCTCGGATGGCTTAAGACGTATTAAACGGTCTCGTCCGACCCCTTGGGTGTAGGATCTATCTCGCCCGACCCCAAGGTCGCGGGATCCGTCTCGCCTGACCCCAAGGTCAAGGGATCTGTCTCGCCTGACCTCAAGGTCACAGGATCCGTCTCGCCTGACCCCATGGTCACGGGCTCCATCTCGCCCGACCTCTAGGCCATGGGCTCTGTCTCGCCCGACCTTGAGGCCGCGAGCTTCATCTCGCCCGACCCCTTAGGTGCGGTGACCATTGAGGGATGTGGGTATATATACATTTCCCTTTCCTCCCCAACCACTATCTACGATTTAAGCGACCGTTGGGGGCTGGGGGGTATATATATACCTTTTCCCTTCCTTCCCAGTGGGTGACCTGCCTCTTCTTCCTCACTTGAGCACGTCCAAAGCAGAGCAGGAGCTCTCTCTCTCTCCCTCCATTGTTGATCTCAAGCCCTCAAGCAAATCCATTGATTTTCCCATCAATTCTTGAGGAAAAAGGGTCCCTAACTCGATTAGAGAGCAGCTCCATTGATTTCACAAATCTAAAGAGCACTTGGTTCATATTTTGGCCGGCGGTTGTGTTTGTTACTCTTGGAGCTTGGCTCCTAGCCGGCTAGAGCGTCGTCCATGGATCTTGCCAACTTGTGTGGCAACCCCGGGAGGTTTGTAACCATCTCTTGAAGCTAGTAAACTCACCCCTCATCTCAAAAGTTAAGTCTCTTGACTTGAGAATGAGGAAGGGCTGGAAAGCTCTAAGCCTTAGTGGCTAACCTCAATAACGTGGAGGTAGGCAAGCCTTGGTGGCGAGCCGATTCACGGGATAAATTATTGTGTCACTTGTGCTTGACTTACATTACTTGCATGACATATTGTGGTTGAGTTGATTTCTAGTTTTTTTTTGTCGGTCTACTTGTGTGTGATGTTTCTACCACTCCTAGCTCTTGATCTGTGATTGTCATACCTGTAGTAAGCTAGAAATTTTCTTCGATCTAAGTTTTCATTAACGGATTTTGAACTGTGACTCAAAGTTGTCTGCAGGTGCGGCAGTGCCGCTGTTCTGGTCCGGCAGTGCCGCAGGGTGAATTTAATAAAAGTTTGAGTGTTTGTTTTGACATGCCTATTCACCCCCCTCTAGGTCAACCAGAGATCCTACAATAATAACACATGTGCTAATGACGGATTAATTAGGCTTAATAAATTTGTCTCGTGGAATACTGACGGATTCTGTAATTTGTTTTTTTATTAGTATCCGAACACCACATGCGACACCCCCATATGACACCTGATGTGACACCTTAAAACTTTACACCCTGGATTTAAATAAGGCCTAAGTTACGTCTCGAGAGAAACTTGAGAATCATGGTAGAGGATTGTAGGATTTTGAATCAATAAGAAATATTTCTCGGATTCACTTGAGAATTAGAAGAAACTTAATTCCCCTTATAATTAGAATCGATTTTTCTTTTGAAACTTTTCTTCGAGATGTAAATAATATGGCAAGATATTGATGGAGATGTATGTATGGTGATGACGAGAGGGAATGCCTTGATGCCAGAATTGTCCTCATGGATAGCCTATTTGGCATGTTCTTACAAAAATCAAGGTAATTTAATACTATCACTACCTGTTCACCATTTTGTTCAACGTTGTTTGCCTCCACGCTACTAAACTCCTCATCAACTATGCGAAAGTAGATAGGTTCTTCATCCACCTCCATTGCTAGTTAACTCTACTAGTCTTACTCGATGGTTCATTGTATCCTTGCTTAACCATACACCATTTAATATGGGCATGCTTGGTTCCTCCAACAAGGCTACCCTCGTCTTGTAGAGTGAGAATCTTAAGTGGAGATATGTTTGGTTGGCTTGCTCGATCCTTTGGAGCTTGTGTTGGCTAGCTTTGCGCATGATTTTTCTTACCACCACGAGTGAGCCACAAACGGCTCACCTGGTTTGGCAAGATTTTCCTTGCCTGAGCCAGCAAGGCGAGGCTAGCTCACCTAGGAACCAAGCAGGCCCTAGTGGTGTCCTGTGTATGCTTGTGCCCTATGACTATGAAGATGGTGCCACTCCCACTCTCGCGTCCTAGCAATTGTAGGTTGTACATCCTAGCATCCTATCTCATCACGTAATACTTGCCTACGACTATATAAACATTATCTCCGTTTGCACCTATGAGATTTGGACTAACGGATGCTTATAAATAATTCCTTATGTTCTCTCTTCTTCAATCGATTCTTCATGTGTCGTAATTAATCAATATGGAAAAAATATATTGAGAACTAGAAGTGTCCATGTGCACGTATTTATGTGGACTTCTAGAATGTGAAAGTTAATTTTGTGTACTATATGATTCTTGGTATCTCAAAAACTCAAAGAATCCTTATAGAGGTTTGCAACAAATAAAGACTAATAACTATTCTCTGGATCCTGAATTATAAGTTATTTTTGCTTTTCTAGATATGTTATTTTTAGTATATATCTAGACATAGTGTATAACTAAGTGCATAGTATAAAAATTATATACAAGGTAAAATATCTTACAACTTGGAATGGGGGAAGAATAAAGGTTTTATAAACATTATACAAATAACTTGGGGGATAACACTTAAATATAAGGTTACCAACAACTCTAGCTTCTGCAAAAGCGGATGATGAGCGAGCTACTTTCATCTCATTCGCTTTTGTAAAAGCCAATAGACAAAAATTTAATAAGACCCATATTGTATAAACACATCTTTCTGATACCGTCAAAATATGCCCAAACAAGCTTGCATTTTGGCTAAATGACCGAAAGTGGTACAAACAAAAACATCCTAAATTTGAGTGTGAAATCAAGGAGAAAAAAGATAGAAAACGGTACGTATGGAAACTATCCATTTGAGTGAAATGAGTCAGAAACTTGTCTATTTGTGGGACACCATTTGTTTTGAATAAAGACTAAAAAAAGTGTCTCATATATAAAACAAATGCTAATATAAAAGATGGATAACTTGACATAAGACGGCCTTAAAAATCTGAATACATAAAACACCAACCAAATCGTCTTTTCTCCTTAGGTTGTTCACCGCCCAAAACATAACAAATGGCAGTAAGGGGAAAGAACATACGCAAACACCCTCGCCATAAAAAAACTTTAGATTATGTAAAAGCCACTTGTTTCTGGCAACAAGGTCCAGTGAAAGAATATCATATGAGGAACCCCGAGGAACATAAGCTTACAATTCTTCACCACTAGAACAAAAGTGTTAGTGCTTAAAAAAAGAACATAAGTGTTAGCGCTTAAAAGAAAGAACAAAAGTGTTAGAGAAACCGAGCCTTCCCAAAGACTAAAAAAGAGACTGAAATCAGTACATTGAAAGTCAACCAATAGCTTCCTAACATATTTCATTGAACATACTCTCACTGGCCCTTTGTTTGTGCCGTATCAGCCCTCACCAAGGCAGAAAATGACTGACGAGACCTTATTCTAATGCCTATTGTTGTAACTAGCTTGTTGGTAGCGTCAGGAACCAAAACCTAATAAATGAAATAAGAATGAATGAAAAAAAACTAAATCTACTCAGCAGAATTGACGAAGTAGTCCTAAGCAGGTCTCTCGGAGTCGCTCTAAAGGAAACTAAGGGGTGTTTGTGACTGCTTCACAAACTCTACTCAACAAACTCCACTATAGAACAACTTCATAAAAAAACTAGAGTTTGTGGAGCACCTCTTTAGGTGCTCTCACAACTTCATCCTTTTTTTCGAACAGAGTGCGTGGAGCTGAAACCGTTTGGCTAAAAAACGTGGAGCGAAACTGAAAAACGTGGAGCGGAGCAGTCTCAAACACCCCCTAAAATGCCATAATACTATGGGGGTATAATTGGAAATACTAGACAATGGGAGGTGCGGACATGAAAAACACATAAGCATCCTTGAACCACGCATGAACGTGCCCATACGGTGGCGTCTCATTGGCCAGGCTTTTGCATTACTTCTGCCCTCAACCGGTCAAAATAAGGCGTTCCAATTCCAATAGACCCGTCAATAAGACATCGCTTGGACGGGGACCTGTTTGCCGTGTAAAGCGAGCGACGCCACATCTGGATGACCCGGCGGCGGCGTGATCGTCGACGTCGACGCCCCTTATGCCACGGTTTTGCCGCGCAAGCGCCATGGCTTGCGCAGAATAGCCGTGTTCCGGATGTCAGCACACAGAGACACAGACAGGGGCCAGCAGCAACGCCTGAGGAAGGCATGTACTGGCGCGAGGCGCCATGGTAACCGTCGTGCAGAGCTAGCCTAGGTGAACGAACGCCATGATTGCATGCATGGCCTATCTGCCATGGTTTCAACATTTCAAGCGGCCGACGGCACACGACAGCAATAAAATCACTCAAATGCATACTACGGGTACGGGAATACCAGAGTCCAAGAATCATGCTAGCTAGCTCTATCTATGCCTCTACCAAGAATCGATCAGTAAAGCAGAGCATGCTAGAGTGCTGTGACACTCCTAGTAGCAGTAGCAGAGCAGCAGTCATAAACATGCGTGCAAGACGAATTCTCTCAATACTCCCACTTGCGCAGATCCATGCCTTCCGGCGGGCTGGGCTCGACCTTCTTGGAGCCCACGTCCTTCCAGTCGGTTGACAGCACCGTGCCGTTGGACTCCTGGAACGATTTCGTCATCTCCCGCCGCATGTCCTCGTCGGCGTTCCCGAAGATGTCCTGGAAGAACTTGTTGGCCGCCGCGTCGCCGTCCAGCTTCTCCTCCTTCTCTTCCTTCTTCACCTGTGCCTCGATCTTGTCCCAGTCCTTCTTCCTGCCCCTGGACGACGACGACGGGTAGCACGGCCTCTGGGCGCCGCCGCTCGCCGCCGGTGACGCCGTGGCGGTGAGCTTGGGCTTGTCGGTGAACTCCAGCGACGTCCACGTCGTTCCCGGCTCCGCCTTGGCGAGGCGGACCTCGATCTTGGTAGAGAGCACGGCGAACCTGCACTTGTCGGGGACGATCTTGCCGAACAGGCGGGGCTGCAGGTGGTACGCCGCCTCGCCGGGGACCTCGACGGAGACGCTCAGCATCTGCTCGCCGAACTCCACCGCGACGTGCTCGGGCGCCACGCCCTTGGTGAACACGGTGACCACCACCTCCGCCGCGCTGTTGTAGAAGTCGTGCCTGTACTTGGGCTTTTCAGCGGGGGCAGGCACGGGCACGGGCACGGGCGCGGCAGCGGCAACAGCGGGCACGGCACAAGCCTCGGTCTCCATCGGCTTGGGCGCCTTGCCGTCGATCTCCTTCATCAGCCTGGCGAACCGCGCGTCGCCGGGGGCCAGGGCGGCGCCGGCCTCGACGGCGGCCCGGGCGGCGTCGTACTGCTCCAGCTTGACGCAGGCGTGGGCCCTGCGGAGGTGCGCCCGGGCCATGGCGGGGTCGAGCTCGACGGCGCGGGCGGCGTCCGTGGCGGCCGCCGCGAAATCTCCAATCTTGGTGTAGGCCTGGGCGCGGTCGGCGTAGAGCGCGGCGGTCGGCGGGCCCGCGGCGATGGCCTGCGTGTAGAGCGCGGCGGCGAGGGCGAAGTCGTCGTCCATGAAGGCCTCCCTCGCCTTGTGCTCCAGCTCATTGGAGGGCGTCGCCATGGGTGTGGCGAAGCCGGCGTCGGCGAGGCCTGATGATCGGGGTAAGATTCGATGGATCGCGTGTTTATCGAGATTTTGTTGCGTTTGGTCGTTGCCACGACGTCACGTATTTGTAGGCGCTCAGCCACGGTTTGGTTCGTCCCCGTCCGTTCATGCACGATCGGAACACGAGTCCCGGATATCTTCGACTCGAAGCCTTGCCAACTTCAGCTTAATCATCGCAAATTTCTTTCCCTTGCAAATTTGATTAGCCAAACAGAGTATAGTAGTAGTAAGGAAAAAACAAAAGTTTTTTTACTGTATATATATTATATTTTATTCATTCATATAAAGGGAGAAAGATTAAAAATTCGAGAAAAACGCCGAACTTTATAGTCAGTGTACCACTGTATACGTCTGTACCTGCGTGGGCAGCTGAGCTATCACGGTATCCATACACTCGCAGCATCCCTCCCGTCCACCCGCCGCGTCCGTACACCGGAGCATGCTCTCCACACCCGCTGCAGGCGGGCGCTTCCGCCGGGGAGGTCTGCCCTGGAGGCTTCGTCCGCGCTCCTGCCTGGCGTCACCGCCGTCCTCCAGCGGCGGCGGCGGCGAGCCTGAGTACGTTCTGAATTTCACCGGTCTTTTCCTGGATCTTTTTTCCTGCTCTTTTTTCTTTCTTTTAGTGAAGGAAACGTGTGTGCTGATGCAGAAAGGCGAGGCCTTTGCTCGCGGAGAGGTACCGGGACGGCGTCGTCAAGAGGTTCTTCGCTTCTCAGCTGTGAATTCTTGATTTCGAGAACGCCATCTGATTTCCCCATTGTACACCCGAACTCACAAAGAAATTGGCTTGCATTTTGAATCGGAGGTGACAAGTGGACAACTCTGCCAAATTTCTCATGTTTGATTTGATCGATATTGTGGTAGATATATATCGGATGGCAATTCTAAGCTGCAATTTCGTTTGGAGAAGCATGAATCTCCGGTAAATGCTGTGGAAGATGAGAATGCAGATTCTTTGATCCCCCAGGCTATTTGGGACTTTGTGCTTCCAGCAGGGTTTCCAGGTGATTCATGACATCCTTGCACATTCTGGACTCTCATCCATATACTTCACAGTTGCTCGATTCTAGCCAAATGTTTCATAGTGAATCATCCTGCTTGAAAAGTACTGCTCATTGGAGTGAATCGTTGTTTTCTGGTCATACTTTTGTAAACTGCTTTGGTTGGGAGATATGTATACTATTCTCGTCAAATGTAAGCAACATATAATAATGAGTTAATGACAAATTCTGGTATTCTGGTACAGCTTGATTTTGAGTCGCTGTCAAAGTTTGTGCAGAGATTTACCTGTAAGATAATATAAAAAGGTATCCATGTCAGGCAGAGATGAAACTATATACTATTATTAGAAATACACCCAAGGAGATGCGTAAGGGGCTGAATTCACTTATTATTTTGTGGTTGGGGAAGTATGGACATTTGGGAATACCTGTGTATTTGAGGGAATTTCTCCTAATATTCAGAGCCTTCTACAAAAGGTCGTTGATCAATGTAGCTCTTGGTGCATGGCAGGTGCTTCTAACCTCCAGGACCTGCTCCTAAGGCCGATTGCCACAGAACCTTAGTTTCTGGTTGGCGGTTTGATCCCCCTTGGTCATGTTCAATAGTCAGTGGGGTGGGTTTTGTATATAACCGGGTTTGGGTGGGTCTCTTTTCGTCACACTCTTGTACACTTTTTTCTCTCTTAATGAAATGGCATGCAGCTCTCCTGCATAGGTTGAGAAAAAAATATATACCACCTGACAAATTAACTCTTTATTGTTATTTGTTTTTTTTTTCAGGGTCTGTTTCGGTTGACTACCTGGAGTACATGTTGTTGCAGTTCCCAACAAATGTGACAGGTTGGATCTGTCATGTATTGGTGACATCAAGTCTTTTGAAGGTATTTCTTAATTTGTTAGTCTAGTGGGTCAATTATGTGAATAATATTTTTTCTTCGAAACAATACGCAGTCTAAGAATGAAGAAAAAATAACTTACTACAGTTATGTTATGTTCTTATTTCAAATGTAATAAGTGGATTTCATTATTGAATAGTCCATCCGTTACAAATTATAGTTCACTTGGCTTTGCCTAAGTCAATCCTCTCTAACTTTGACCAAGTTTTTTTTAAAAAATATATCAGCATCTACAAGTTCAAATAAATGCACTTTTAAAATATATTTTTGTAGAACTTAATGAAATAAATTTGGTTTTGTAGATGTTGGTGCACTTTTCTATAGACTTGGTCAAAGTTAAAAAGTTTGACTTAGGACAAAGCCAAAGTGAACTATCATTGGTAACAGAGAGAGCAATTTACAAATGAGGTAGATGATATTTGGTGTTAAACATAAAAAAGAGGCAAGAACTCCAGTTTTCTGTCTATATTTACTGCCGATGGTGAATCTGATCACTGTGTACTTTGATATGCAAAGTGACAAGGAAATGCGTTACCTAATTTTCATGTTGTTGGCAACACATGAATTATAGTCATGCTATTTTTTCGAGTTATGTGTATTGACCAATATGTTATGTATCTAGCTTTTTCAAGTATACTCGTCAGCCATAGCTTTATGTCACCGTCATTGATTAGCTGATTGTAGATTGGTACAGGCTGTAGGTGTTGGATCTTTTACAGGAACTTCTGCAGCTGCATCTGCTGCTGCTATCAGGTCATAAGCATCTTTGCTACTCATATAGTTCTATCTGTTACTAGAAAGTAGAAACCTTGGAGTTATTGCTTTGGGGAGACGGAAATATTTATATTAGTTTTAGGTGCCTTCTGTCCCATTCTTGTTTTTCTGGGCCATGAATCATGGCCACATAAGAGAGATATATAGGCACATGAAAACATGATGCAAATGTGAGTGGATAATTTATCTTATGAGCATAACTAACTTGAACCCTGTTGATTTGAACCTTAGATGGGTATCAAAGGATGGCATTGGGGCTTTTGGGCGTCTTCTCATTGGTACTGTTATTACCTTTTTTTCATCATGTCAGAATTTAGTGTTTAGGAAGATTTATGGATGGCATCTTTAGGTGGACGCTTTGGAGCACTTTTCGATGATGACCCAAAGAAGTGGAGGATGTATGCAGATATCATTGGAAGTGCTGGAAGGTTGGCAATAATAAGTTCTTAAAATAACAGAAGCAGATCTTCATAACCATGTTACAAGTAGTCTAATGAAGAAACAAAACTCTGTCCTAATATTATATGTACCATTTTGCAGCATATTTGAGCTCATGACTCCACTGTATCCAGGTTACTTCCTCCCACTTGCATCATTGGGGAATCTTGCAAAGGTATTCTGAAAAGATATTACACTCGCATTTAGTTGGGCTGCAGCAGACATTTAGTGCCCCTATGGCGTGTAAGATCATTGACTCCAAATTTTTAAGCAGGCCATAGCAAGAGGATTTAAAGATCCTTCCTTCCGTGTTATCCAAAATCACTTTGCAGAATCTGGAAATCTTGGAGAGGTTGCTGCAAAGGTATTGACTGCAGTAAAATACTTTTCTTATAGTCAGTTGTGTCCTAATGTCTTCTGACTGCAGCATTGACATTGTCACAGTTCTGGGATCTGATTTAATTAATATACTGTGTAATGTTTCTTTTTTGTGAAAACCGGAATGAAATTACAAATTACAATCATTAAAGATAAGGATAAAAATGCCTTGAAACTCCTTGCAAGAATAATCCTTTAAGAAACAGTATTGTATTTTCAGGAGGAAGTATGGGAAGTAGGAGCTCAGCTTTTAGGCCTTTCAACCGGTGTACTTATTATGGTATACAGTTCATTAAGTTTTATATGTTGTTTATATCGAACCACATTTCTGTATACCAATCTTATTGATCAGTTATGTTATTGCATTGATGGAGACAGATGCCATCATTTTTTATCCATTTACAGTTGCTGTTTTTATTCTAGGATACCGCAGGTGTAAAGTCATCATACTTAACTCTTGCTTTAACTTGGCTGAGTGTTCGTCTTCTACATCTTTGGTTGCGCTATCAGTCCCTATCAGTTCTCAAGTTCCGCACAGTAAGGTGCTTGGCCCAAATTGTGTTTTGCTTGATGAAATGAAATAATTATGTTGAAGATTTCCATGTTTGACTGCATTTTCATATATGCATTAATCCTCCTCATGGTAATATTGGTAGATAAACCTAAAACGTGGCCGGATTCTTGTGAGATCACATGTTGCACAACATACTGTTCCTGGTGACATTTTCTTCTCACGATTATTTTTACATTTTTCTTGTTATTTTCTGAAACAGTTCTAGTAACTTCTTAGTACCTGGTGTTTTTGGCTTGCTGTTTTAGGTTATGTTGCTTGCAATGAGGAAGAAAGCATTTTAACATGGGAAAGATTCTTGCGTCCACAAATTTCTTTTGGTGTGCCCATGGAAAGAATGCTTGGTGGTGATGAATCCAGTGACATGGTATGAATAGCCGATTCTGTTAACTTTGGTAGCTTCACTTTTCCCACACTTTACAATCTTAAAGCTAAACAGTAAACACTAAACAGTCAGTCACCCTTATTTACCATGAGGCCGTTTAAACAGTGTTTAAACAAAGTTAAACAGCCTAAATGGTTTTGTGTAGTACCACTAAATATACATATTTATGCATAAAAAATCTAATATGCTAGCAAATATTCATATTTATGCATGCAAAAATAAGTATTATAGCAAGTATAAATTTTGGGGAAGGAAACTAAATCCCATTCCCTCTTGTATGTTCACGATGTCAATTAGTTGGGTGCCAATGTGGTGGCTGACATCGTCCCATTTACTAATCAATGACTTAAAAGGACGTTTAGTTCGTCTAATACCATTTTATTTAAACCACTTTCCCGTTTTTGACCGTTCAAATCAACCCGTTTAATGGACTGTTTATTGCCTAAACAACACAGCTACTCTTTTTTTTTACCGTTTAAACAATCTAAACTGCCATTTAGGCAAACAGTGATCTTATCTGTAGATGGGCTTCCTTGGGACGGTACCTTGGGAATTAGAATTAGTGGGGGTAACAGTTGGGTTGTAGTTAATATTTGAGGACTCAATGTAGAGCTCAGTTTGCAATCAACCACTGCATGACATACTTGTTTCTTTTTCCTTAAATCCTAGCCTCTCTCCTGATTGACATTTTATTTCCTGTTCCGTTTATAACTACCTGGATTGACATGCAATCTATCATTAACCTAACCTTGAATGAACTAGAAATTGGTGAGAACACATCCAAGAAGAAATTAGTGACAACATGTCAACATGCCAGTTTTGAGTAAAATGTAGGGGGCATTCAACTTTTTCACCATCGACCATTCCTGTTAAATCTACTGAAGTAATCTGTTTCTTTGAGAACAATTTTAACGTTGGTGGGTGTCAATAAGAATCAGTAGCTTGTCTGTGGCTTAGTCTGACTCAGGAAAAACCAGCAGGCAGCAGCAAGCATGTATCCAGGAGCTAATGGTCAGTAGCAGTTCCATTGGCTATTTCATAACCTCTGTTTAAAAAGGCAATGCCCAGCTCTGCCTAAGCCGCGGTAAGTAGAGCTGCATCGCCTCGACTAGCACCTAGGCATTTTTGTCTATTTTTTTCCTGCACAGAGATGTTTTAGACTTGATGTATGTAAATAGATGGACAAATTAGAGATGAAGAAAGACAAACTGCAACCATAGTACTCATGGATGCATGGTTCTGATATGCTAATTTTCGTTATCTAGCATATAAGTACTCAAACCACCCACAGGAAGTCATAGAATACAAACGTCAAGAAACGCCTTGGCGCTAGGAGCCCAACTGCCTGCCTAGTGCCTAGTGCCTAGTGCTTTTTGAAACATTATTCATAACACAACTCATTTGGTTTCGCTTTCTCAAGCAATTTCCAAACCTGTTCACTCTTGAATCTGCAAGAGTGTATTCTGCATGTCATTTAATTACTTTGGGCCAATCTGTTAAATTATTGAACAGGTGGATAGATTATTGAAGTTGTACAAGAATGAGAGGTATATCCTCTTCTTTGAGCAGTTTGGATCAAGGGAGCCAACATTTCTAGTTACTTTCAAGGTAATATACTACTGAAACGGCATTGAAATAGCTGGGCACCAGTTAATATCGTTATCTGCTTCACTGTTTTTTCAGGAGTCGGCAACAAGCATGTCAGTCCTAAGGAGCCTGTGGCAAGCACATTGGCTTCACAAGAATCAGCTAAGGCAGGAGGAGGTTTTCCCTTGGTTAGAAGAAAGCCTAGTTGCATTGGAGAATGGATTTACTGACTTCCTCGAGCAAATGTGTAGCGCTGGCTGGGATCAGAACCTAATCATTTTGAAAGTGCCAAAAGAGCCCGTCTTGGTGCTGGAACATCTAGACCAAGAGGTGTGAGATGCCACTGTTGCTTACAAATCATCCTCCTGATAACTTGCTTTTTTATGGGTTTCACGGTTCGTACTGGTGCTAACCTAGAGGACAATGTAGAATCTTCTTTTCTATTGCGTGATCATGACCTGCTGAATCAGTTGCAACTGAACATCGTGTAGGAGCCGAGATTCCCATGCGGCAGATGCTTATAGTGAACTAACAATTCATATTATAAGAAACTCTGTTTGGCATGTAACCAGATGTTTGTCTTCACACTCAAAAATAGAAATATTGCATCAGCTGATTTTGTTATTCCTTTAAGCTAGCAACTGCGGCCAAGTGGTCAATTGAGCTGATGCTAAACGGCACTCGCTTGTCTCCTTGACTATTTTTTTTATCTAACCTGATGCAATGCATCAAATTTCTATCATTCGCATGAAAGCTTTGGTGAGACCAGTCACAAATACTTAGCGTTTTTTTTTTTTGCATGGACACATTCACCGAAACATAACTTCATTTTTTGTTGCAAAATATTTATAAAAAAGTACTGTAAAGGTGCATAGTTAGCTGCAAGCTCCTGACATAATGTTGATATGAGATTAAACCGATAAAAGCCATCATTGACAAGTGACCATAAGCATGTCATGATTCAAAAGCAACCGAAACCTATTTATAGACCTAACTGGCTAACTCCTTGGGAGCATTGCTGCAGTAGACAACTATTGGGTTCAACAGCATTTGTTTGATATGGGTCTTCAGCATGTGTTGATATGGGATTCAAAAGCAGCCGAAGCACGTGTGGATATGGGTCTTCAGCATCTTAGCTAAGGGGACCAAGATGGTACAAAAGAAGATGTGGCAGCAGCTAGTAAATGGCTGGTTTCTTGTCAAAATTGCTACCGAACGATATAAACCAAGCATCAGACTTTGGATTTGCCCTTTCCCTTTACTGCATGAGTGAAGCGAGTCTTCTTTGCTTTCCTGTTCTTTCCGCCAGAATCGCCATCTGAGTCGTCATCACTACTATTGCCATGCTTGCCATTTGCTTTCTTCCGGGAACTTGATCCATAGACGTGTTCCTTGGTCTTTCTGTTTGGCCCTTTCTTCAGCAAGTTCATCTTCAGTTTTTGGTTTCCAAATGAAAATAGACCTGCAAGGGCCACCTTGTGAGTTGTGGAGAGAAAAAAAGATCTAGCACTGGATAACAATATTATGTACTTATATATCGCTAGGACTACCTTGAGCTTCCTGTAGGCTGTAGCTAGGATGTCATCTTGCGGATGTAGCTTGTTCACTGGGCTGATGGTTGTTATGTCAGGGTCCATCACCTCAGCCAGAAGCTTCCCGGAACTGGTATCTATGAAATCAATTGGATGCAGAGCAACACCATTGTAGTTCTCACTTATGTAACGGCCAATAACTGCAACTGTTTCAGTGTAATCCTGCAGAGAATTAACATTCCATTTCAGAATTGGGCACAGCTATTGTGAAATAATAAAATCCAAAAAGTGCACTTTTTAATTATAGCTGAAACCTTTGGATCCCACTCAGCTTTGAAGGGAGTCAGATGACGATTGAAATCATGACTGTGCACAATTTCTCTACTTGGGGATTGCAGATCACCAAGAATATAGTCCCATACACGAATTCGGTTGTCCTGACAAGTTGTCAAGATCTTATTTCCGCTTTGTGGAGAAAAGTATCCTGAATTAACAACCCGTCCATGAGCAAGGCCGGCAAGGGGAGAGTTGGCTTCAAGCTTCCTTGTATCCCAAATACGGGCCTAATAATTACAGAGACGTGGAGATATCAAATAGAAAACAAGAAAAGGGGGACCTTTACATATGCAGAACACACTCACATAGTGATCATTTCCGCTGCTTAGAAGAACTTCAGGTCGTGCAGGGTTGCAATGTAGGCTGGTTACCTTACTACCCTTTTTATGGATAAGAATTGGATGTCCAATTCTTGTCTTTGACCGTCTATCCAGGCTGCAAGAATTAATAATAGCTTACAACAGAATGCCACATATTTGATGCATGAAAGTGTGGAAGCGTACAACAATATCTCTCAATTCAAATGTAAAACAATCACCGATGACAACCCATTTGGAATTGAGCTGCCAAACAAATGCATAAAATGGATAACAAGAACAAACTGATCAGTTGTTTCAAAGGAAACTGCATATATAGCAAAATTCTACACTATTAGGAATAAATCTCAGAAAGGTACCACCCACTTCCTAAAGATACTCACAAGTAAAGAAAACCAAAGTTATCTGCCACCAAAAGAAGACCTTTGTCAGTGTTCAAGTCCATCCCGTATATCATGTGCCAAGAGCTTGGACCCTGTTGTGAGAAACAAAGAAGGACCGGAGTTCATTAAAAAAAAGCTCAAAATGGATAGAAATTAATTCAGATCAATGCTATCTAATGAATGCATAATTACAGAACAAGATGGGGGGAGGGAGGTAGAGAGAGACTGAAAAGTAACATCTTTATAAATTCTTTTGAACAAAGTGATCTATAGAACATGACCTGAAAGTAAACTTACATTCCAACCATTCGGGTTGAGATTTAACAAGGGGAAGCCAATGCCAGTGTCCAAATCGGTAAAACTGATAGTACCATCAGAGGAAGCTGTATATACCATCCCATCATTGGTGGTATCAATCCTGAACAAGGTCAAATTATGTTGCAACATTTTGTCCTTTGCACACAAAAAACAAAGAGACAAGAAACAACCATCAAGGAATACTCTTACTTCATGCTATTCAGAATGCAGGAGTGCACAGAATCATATGTAATCTTCTCATGCAACTTAACATAATCCCAGATACCCAGAAGCCCTTTCTGCATGGAGAGAACGGAGATGGATTAGTACGTGCCTACATGTTCCTGCAATCTAACCATTTTTGGGCACTCGAATGCAGAGATACAGATACTTGTAAGTAATTTAAGAGGGCAACAAAGTTCAACAGTAGTAGTGCAATACCTTGTCTCCTGATAAAAGAACATTGTTCTTAGTTGGATGAAACTCCAAGCATGTCACACGCCTCTGATGAAATTTTATGTTTCCACACTCTAGTTGGTTGGGTATCAGAAACTTAGGCTTAACCTAGCATTGATAAGAGGACAAAAGTGACAGATCTGGTACTAACAAAAAAGGGGTAATATGAAATATTGCGATTGGCAACAAAGAACACAGAAGATAACGCCTTAGTCAAATCACACTCGGGACCATGGAAATCTTGCCCTTGACTTGGCTCTGAAAGACATAATCTAGTGAAGTGTTTGTATTCCTTCTAGGGGCTGGGATGACATCATGCTCCATTGCTACTCTATGTGGGCAAGTCAAGGTTGTATGACCTGTCCATGATGAAAACATAGTGTTGGTGAATGAGAAAACAGCATTCGTGTCATTTTCATCTAAGGATCCATTGTGGACTTGTATTCCAAGATTCATTTGGTACTGTTGATAAACCTTTAAAATCATAAGTAAAACATGTAAACTGCTATGAAGCATTAGGAAGCAGCTTTAAATCCCTGGGTGCAGAAACACAAGGAAATAATAATATATATGTTGGTTCGTCAGTGCAAGTTCTTTCAGTTTTTTTTTTTTTCTTTCACCTTTTAAAATTAGCCTAACCTACTCTCACAGGCATTACTTTAAACAAGAATCCTTCGACAATGCTATTTCAACATGTAACATGAACACTAATTTATAAAGACAAATCAGCCCAATCCACACTGAGAACAATTGTTCTGTCCATCCCAAATTAGTGACTCTTGTACCACAAAAGCATAACGAAATAATCACGCAGAATTAGAGATCAGCCCTCTGGAACCCTGCCTGGTGCCCTGTCCTTTTGCACACCTGCAACCAGACATAACTCATGAAACCCCCTGATCGAGAAATGCATACAAAGGGGATCATAGACACTACACCATTATAAAAGGAAATCTTTGCGACAAAGAATCTCAAAATTTTGCTGAAGTGAACAGAAAAGAAGCGCTGTTACAAACTAATCGCTTAGAGGGCCATTTTCCATTAGGTCCGAAGCCCATTTTTCGTATTCAAAACTAGCAATTAGGCCATAACAAATAAACTGAGTGAAATTAATTTTAAAAATACTAATTTTGCGTCCAAGAGAAGCGACCGTTCCTATTTAACCCCCAAATGGTAAAAGTGAGTATGCAAAAGAAGCGGTTTCTATGTCCAAAATTCAAGTCCGGCTCCAAGACTCAGAAAGAAGCCGTCTTTCTGAACACAAATGGAAGGCACATAGCAAGGAGATGCGGCAAAACAAAATAGCCAGAAAATCTTTGAGATTTATTTTGCACCGACCACTACCTTGCACACTTTCTCGAGGCTGATGCTGATCGGGCCCTTCCTTCCGCCCCTCTTCTCCCCCGCCGCCGCAGCTGCGGATGACTGCTTGACCGCAGGCTCGACAGTGACCGCCTCCTCTTCCTCCTCGTCATCGACGTCCTCTCCGGACGCTTCGGCATCTTCTTCCTCATCTCCTTCTTCGTCGGAGGATGAGGAGGAGCTATCCACCCGCTGCTCCTCCTCGTCAGAAGCCTCCTCGACAGCGTGCTTCCCGCCTCGGCGGCGGCGGCGGCGGCGATTGTAGACGAAGTGGGCGCGGGTTGTGGGGCCCATGTGCCCCCAACAGGTCGAGGCCTCGGGAGGCGGGAATGGGGAGACGTGGAGGGGAACGGGGAGACGAGGCTGGTTGGTCTGGGTTGTGGGGTTTATGGGTTCGGCGTTTGCTTGGTTTTATGGCTAGTTTAGATTAATCATTTTCAAGAAATTTATTTAAGAAGACTTTGAAAAAATAGCTTATATATCCCCTTCACTTTTCTTCTATCTCATAGAAAATAGGTGCATCCAAACTAGCCTAATATTAACGTGTTATCATATTTTTATCTCAAGGTCATGCTTTTTGTAAGAGTTTTTTTTATGATGAAAAAGTTTCTATTCAAGAGAGAGAGAGAGAGAGAGAGAGAAAGAGAGAGAGAGAGAGAATATGGAGTATATTAAGTGAGGTCACATATCTATGACCATTTGCCTAACCATTATAATTTATAATAAAAAATAGTATTTGTCTTAGCTAGATTTGTCTATTTTGCCTTACTACTAATTGTGTGTGCACATACTATATATTATTAGTATCAATCTCCATATTCTACTCAGACTCCTTGAAAATAAATAAACTCACCTTCCCATCTTCGACATCGCACTTCGGCATTCAATCTCAAGAACCACGGGCCTGTTTCGTTTGCGATCATGCTAAAGATTTGACAAGTAAAAGTTAAAAAAAAATTACCATAGATTTGGCAAGCTAAATGTGAGAGGTCAACAAATTTTGATAGCAAACCAAATAACAATCAAAATCACGACTTATCAAATCTTTAGCTTAGCATATTTTGAAAGCAGAGCCAAGCAGGCTCAGCATGTATATGAGAACATTGCTTGACTGTTTAATGTCCACCTTTACAAGTTTTGTCTTATTTAAATAACAACACAATTTGAAGTGAATACATTTTCTTTTGGCTACTACAGAAATAGCTTTTTAATGGCATTTTCAGTATCAGTTTTATAAAAACCATTGGTGATAATAAATCATCGCCAATTAAGGACAAGAGCCATCTAGACCCAGCCTCCTCATCCCACCGCGTGTCTCACTTGTGCTTTCTCAGGGTGGATGACAGGTGGGCCCAAACACCCATTGTCGCCTCGCGATTCGCCACAACCCCATCTCTATCCTTTGTGTGTTTCCATCTACTTGCTCTACCTTCCTTTCTCTCTCCCTTCCTCCCCATGACCTTCTCTTCCCATTTGTGCGTGTGACTACGGTGGCACCCGGCGATTCCCGATGCCCCCTCCGATGCGGGGGCGTTTGGCACAATGGGCATGATCTCGGTGGCTTGGTTTGGCTCCCCCAATGGCAGTGGCCCGACGCAAGGTCGGCTCAAATGCGACACCCTTGACTCCCCAGTGCGACTCTCTTTCCCTTTGATCCCCAGTGCCCTTCTCCCTTCCTCGATGCCATGGTCATGTTCTCCTACGAGGGAACCCCTTTGTCCACCATGGCCAAGTTGTGTCGATATCATGCGCGGCTACGGGTGCTGGCTACGTTGACATCTCTAGGGAGCCGAGTTCATTGAATGCAACAAGATCTTGCTGCGAGAAGCCTGCGGACTCAATAAGGAGCAAACAACCACTCATGGGTCATATGGTTCAACTTCAAACCAATATCCACACAATCCATGTATTAATCCTTTCTCACATTTTGGGTGGGTCATGGGCGAGTGGATTTTTGGCTGGTTCCATGACCCATGCACACCCCTGACCCACACCAGTTGAGTGGGTCAGGGCACCGTCATAACAACCGAGGCCAACAGTAGTGGGTTATCCATTGCAGCACAACTGTGAATTATTGGTTCTAGTTTCAACAGAGCTAATAAGACAATGAGCACTAGCTAGAAGCAAAAAAAAACATTGGGCTCAATATTATGCCAAAACGTTTACTAATATGTAGTATTATATATACATGCTAAACAGTAGCTTTATATAACCAAAACAAACAAAACTGATAATACTTCACATTTTTTTAAGATATATCTAACCCTAAAGCGCTACCAAACATGTCTAAAAAATTGTCGAACCAAAATGATGACATTTTCGTGTAATAATAACTATCTTACACAAACAGCCTTATTTTAATGCGACGTTGAAATTAAAGACGTACTACTGAAGTGAGCTGACTGGTGCAATTTGTTGCCACGACCAACTTCTCAGCACGAGGAACAAGATGAGCAGCGCCTGCTATATTTCTCTAGCGGCCGCTCGCGTGACAACTCGTGAGTGGTGTTGTGGGGTAAGCCAACTAGCCTTGCTGCTTGTACATATTCGTGGCCCCCCGGTTTTGAACTAGCCTTTCAATTACAAGGATTTTTTTCCTAACGTGCCCCTACTAGTCTTTTTTATCCTCACAAAAAAAATTAGATGTACTTCCTCCTTCGTAAAATAAATAATTTTCTAAAAAAATTCAGACAGAACAACGATGCTAGGAAAATATGCATGTATCCTCGTCTCATTTTCTTACTTGGAGGGTATCTTCTAGATTTGGCAATTATCATTTATATATATATGCACAACATGTGATTAGCTTTTGCATTATGAGATATTGTCCCGTATTTTTATAGAATGCTATTTTTAGACATTTTTTAAACCTTAGAAAGTTATTTATTTTTTATGGAGGGAGTAAACTTCTTAGAAAAAAATTCTGATCTCCGCAAAAAATTTATACATCATATACCTTTATTAAAACCTATTTCTGGCCCAGTGTGAATGAGATATTGCTCATAACATCCGCCTCACAGTTTAAGTCAATTTCTTGGATTTTTGTTCAGGTTGTAACAAGTTGACAACACCGTCCTAAAAAAAATCTTTGGACCCATGTTCGGTTCGTGGTTTGGGTTGTATTCAGGGCACGTGCGGAGCAGTTTGTATAGTTTGAGCCATCGCTGTGATTTACTCGAATGATTGGGCGATGGTTGGGGAGAAGACTGCCTCCCCCGACTTGTTAAGGCGAAAACTCACGTCACACATGTGACGAAAAATACCGCTAGGAGCCTGTACAAAAATATGTGACAGGTTAAACTTGAATAAGCAATCAAACGACAGCATAGTAGGGTGTGGCATCCTTCATTGTAGCGTGGCTCGTCGTGGCGGCCAACCAAACACCCCCTAAAGTTCTCTGTTATTTTTTTCTTTTTTGATTTGATGCAAAATGTAGAGCTCTCTACTCTATTTTTTTGGCTGCATACATTTTTTTTGCAACATGAAGATAGGCTCTCTCATCTTTTTTCCGTTTGTTTTGGTGCACTTATTTTCAGCAACACAAAGATATAGAGCCCTCTGCTCTTTTTTCTCTTCGACACACGTATTTTTGTCAATGCAAAAAATATTACAGTACAAAAAATTCTTTCCCGATCCTTTACCTCAACCATCACTCTCTCCTTCGTCTCTTGATTTCTCACTCCACCCCCCTTGGTCCGTCACTCTTCCCTATTTATCTCTAGATTATATCCTCCTCCAACATGGTGTCGGTTACAGTTTAGAGCCACAAACGCTCATGTTGTGGCTTGACTGCCTGGGCTGTGTGTGTCGTCTGGCGTGACTATGCACTCTCGGGCATGTGGCTTGTCTTCCACATTTCTTAACCTCACAACAGACATAGACACTAGCCACCTATTTAAGTAAAGTGAGTTAACATCTGGTCAAATTTTCATAAATGATCAATCCTTTATTTTTTAGAAATGGTGGCAAAAGCTTTGCCGCGATTTCTATTAGGCGAAGAAAGAAAAAAAGGCAAGTGACAGCCCAGTTTTTTTGAATGGAACTAGGTCAGAAAAAACAGATCAATCCTTTATTGCACATAGCATTTATTACAAGTCATAAATTTATTCGATTTAATTGTAATAAGGTTAGACCAAGTCCAGTGACATTTAACAAATATATAGCTAGCTTATTATAGTTGGCATGGACAGGTCCTGCACAACAAGTTACACGTCCAGTTGGCACGTACGAATGTTGCTACCAGTACTCCCTCTATCCTAAAACAAATTAATTTATATAATCACCCTAAGTCAAATTATCTTACATTCAGTCAGCTTTATAGAAAAGAGTACCAACATCTATGACATCAAATAAGTATATTATAAAATATATTTTATATGCATCTAGTGATATAAAATTTGGTGTTATTTTCAATAAATTTAATTAAATTTAAGAATAGTTTGAGTTGATTTATTTCGAAATGAAGAGAATACATACCAAATGAAAAACATGAACCCTTTTTGATGGACCGGACGTCCGGACCTACCTATGACCAATGAGGCAATGGCCTATCCATCCAAGCGGCTTATCTCGACTATCCGGTTCCGGTACAGTGTTGAGGTCCAGCCGCCCCCGCCCAGGACCGGTGGCGTCACGGGTGGGTCCACCGCGGCGTTTTCCTGTCGCATCGGCTGCTTGCCTAACGCGAAGGAAGCTCCACGTGAGCGCCGCTGGTTGGTGGAGCTGGAGCAATGCATTCCAGGCCCAGGGTCAGTGGATTGGATGGATGGTAGCTGCATGCCTTTGGGTCGAATTAACATTTCCTGCGGGCCTTGGACCTGGGGCTCGGAAATGCTTTGCTCACAAAGTTGTTCGAACGATTTTATGTGCTGTGTCTGACTAGTACTACAATGAACATTAGTGCTAGGGCTGCCGTAGTACTCCTTTCATATTGTACCTTTGAAAACTTTACAACCTGTTTGGTTTGGCAGATCCTTTGGTCCGGAATGATCTGATCCTAAGACCGAACCTGAGATGTTTGTTTGGTCTGCGTTGTTGGTCTATGCCGTCCGCCACCGAACGATTCTATTTAGTAACTTCCCCAAGCCAATCTTAAGAATCGTGTCATTCTGTCGGTGTTTCAAACAAACACCAGCTAGTAAATTTATATTTATGCGTGTTATGCCTAGATAGTGCGCTAAAGGACACCAGGTTTATACTGATTCGGGCTAAATGTCCCTACGTCCAGTCTGCTGGTGCTTATGTTATTAGCACCGAAAATGGTTCGTAGTAGGTGTATAAACGGTCGAGAGAGG